CCATTTCTGATGAAGGGTCTAGGCCCGAAACGTCAGCCTTTCTGCTCCTATGATGCTGCTCGGCCTGCTTTGTTCATCCAACTCTGCACCTTGTTGTCTCTTTTGATATATCTGTCCTGTTAGCCCCACCCGTCCCATTTCTTTCCCCACAGCACTCAAGATATTTCCTTTTCCTATATGTATCCTGTTCCAATCTGAAAGTTCTTATTAAATTTGCTTTCACCACCTTATCCAGATCATATTTTGCTGAGTTTAAAATAAAATGCTGATGAAGGGTCCCAAACTGAAATGTCGACTTTCCTGCTCCTCTCATGCTGCCTGACCTGCTGTGTTCCTCCAGCTCCACACTGTATCAACTCTGACTTCCAGCATCTGCAGTTCTTGCTATCTCCAAATGTGATGAATGTAGTTTGGTGTTTGTTGGCTGGTTTAGACATGGTGGACCAAAGGACCTGTTTCTGTGCTATATGACTCTATAACATTAATCCCTCTTGTTAAAAAACCTCTCCTTTAAACTAAGGAACCAAATTTATTCAAACAGAGGAGTTGTTTGCCATACATAACTAGATATATTGCCTTTTGGCGTCTTTGCCAGTAAATTTGTCAAATAAACCGGGGATAGGTTTTAGATAATAAATATTGAGAGTATTCCTTTTAGCTGAGTTTTGAAATGCTGAAGCTCATCATCATTATTGCACTTCTACACCAGACTATTTGGAAACAGCGATGCCTTAGGATTGCATACCTAATTTATTTAAACCACATTGGCAAGAGTCCAAAACTTAAAGCTATGAAATGGTTGTAGTACTGCAGAAGTTAAGACAAAATTGTATAACTTTGCTAACACAGCATAGGTAAACTGCCTGTTGCCAATATCATTGGGACCGACCCTAATCAGTTTGCATGAGTTGTGGGGTTACCTATTGATTAGTTGGAAGGATCCCAGCATTAGTAACCAAAAATCTGTGATTTTTAAAATGATGTTCTGTGTATTCTGCATACAAACTCTCCTAGCAAGCAAGCTGATGGTTCAGAATTTCCTGGCATAAAGGTGACAAACCTGATATGCATGTTAAAAACCGAAAGAACTGCGGATGCTGTAAATCAGGAACAAAAACAGAAGTTGCTGGAAAAGCTCAGCAGGTCTGGTAGCATCTGTGATTCACAGATGCTGCCAGACCTGCTGATATGCATATTGTTATTAATGTGGAAATAACCCATTAATCTGTAGTGATGAAAATATACCCCCACAAGTTTTTTTATTCATTCATGGGATGTAAGCTTGCTGTTCTAGGCCAGCAATTATTGCCTATCCCTAATTGCCCAGGGGCAAATGGTAGTGAGCTGCCTTCTTGAACCCCTGCAGTTGGGTGGTGTAAACACACCAACAAAGCTGTTAGGGAGAGTGTTTCACAACTTTGAACCAGCAACAGGCAAAACATTGAGCTATTTCCAAGTCAGGATGGTGAGTGGCTTGGAGAGGAACTTGCAGAAGGTGGTGTTCCCATCTAGCTGCTGCCCCTGTCCTTCTAGATGGTAGTGGCCATGGGTTTAAAGTTGCCAGATAATTTGTCCCTCATTGCCATCAACAGCCACTGACCTTTAAGAAATTGCGGTATTGCACTGCAAACAAGAAAGATTAAATGTTATGGCTGCTGCATTAACTATACAATGTTCCATTTGATAATGGAATTTCAATGCCACTCATCCTTTCCTGGCCATAAAGGGAACAGTTGAAAATGAAGCCTCATTTTTGCAAGCAGTAAGTAGTTCATGGAGATTTTTAAAATTTAAGTTTAAAAATATTTTTTCTTTCTTTCCCTTCCTTTCTCTCAGTGCCATCTTTTCCTCCTCGTTTTTGTTTCTACACCTAATTTAGTTCTTCTTTCAGCTCTTTATTCCATCATCTCTCTGTTTCCTTTTCAAATCCTATTGGGTAAGAAGATTTTTCTAGTGTCCTTGTTCACTATGTTCACAGAGGTTCTGTTGACCTCACTACACTGTTCCTAGCTTGTATTTCTAGCAATTTACGATTCAGAAATTTTAAATGATGTTGATTGTCATAAAAACCCATTTGATTCACCAGTGATAGCTGTTGGTAATAGTCATCATGAAACTATCTTTATACATCAAATATATTAATTAAATTTGAATTCCATCAGTTTCCATGTTGAGATCTAAAAGACATACCCAGGGCATTAGCGTCGGGCCTCTGGATTCAATTAAGAATTGTCATACTGGACTTGAAATGTTAACTCCGTTTTTCTATCCACGGATGGTGCCAGGTTTGCTGAGTTTCTCCAACACTTTTTGTTTATCATTTGGCAATTATAGAAGGAGGCCACTTGGTCAATCATGCTTGTGCCAACTCTTTGGCATTGACATTATAAAGTTAGGATCATCGATTCATTGTGTGAGCAAATATCAAATTGTCAATTTTACTGGAATATTTTAAGATACTTCATTACTTGTTTGTCTTCCAGCGTACAGAAACTTTGCTGAAAGAATATCAGGACAAGGGGAAGGCCAATACATTTCTTGACAAACGATTTGGTGAATATGATACTGCGTTAACTCCAGATCAGAAGATGACAAAGCGATTCTCCTTGGAGCAGCAGGTAATACTGTTTTGTTTTAACAAGGGAAGTAAAACAGCCCAGTGAAAAGGGTCCCAAGCTGGTAAATGGAACTAGATTAGTTTAGGATATCTGGTCGGAATGGAAGAGTTGGGCCAACAGGTCTGTTTTTGACTCCGTAACTATTTATTTCTCGTCTGCACTTGTTCCTTTGCACCTCCAGATCTGCTTTCCAATATTTCCTTCAGAGATTGTCTGATCAGCTTGGTATGGAGCAGACCTGTATCCAAGACACATACCTGGACTCTCGTACATGATCTGAGCAGTGCAGTAATGAAGGAAGCCTAGATTGTCATAAATGTCTTGCTCCTCTTGAAACAAAGATTCCCACCTGCCTGTTTGAGTATATGCTAAATATTCCCCATGACTCTCTTCAGAGAAAATCAGAAAGAACTCCTTTATGTTATCCAGAAGCCAATTTGGTCCATTCGCCTAAACTAAAACAAAGAATTGCAGGAGGTGGAAATCTGAAACAAAAACATTGCTGGAGAAACTCAGCAGGTCTGGCAGCACCAGTGGAGAGAAAGCAGAGTTAACATTTCAAGTCCAGTGACCTTTCTTGAGAAATTTCTCCGACAATGTTTTTGGTCCATTCACTATTGAATTATGCAATTTTGAGTGATCTAGTTCATTATTTCAGTGCTCAATCCAGATTTGCCATTTTTTTTTTGATCGAAAAGAAAATCTTCTTTCAGGAGCAGGTTTTGAACTGTCAGAAGTGGATGCTAATTGTTTCTCATTTCTGCACTGGGATCTTACTGTGCAAATATGTCAATGCTGTGCATCAAGGCATTCCATTGTGTATGAAACACTGAAATATTTCGATGTGGGGCTTTAAGAAACTGAGTGCAAGATTTTCTTTTACCTTGTGGCAGCTACAGTCTTGAACTCCCAGCGCAAAATGTCTGAAGGCTGCATATACTAAAAAAAAATGCTGCTTAAAACTGAGGCAACACCCATGGGGAGATGAATGTTGGATTCGCATTACAGGCTAATTGCGTCTTCTGTTGGTCAGATAACTGGATGGTGTCTCAATATTTTGTTGGCCAACTGATGCTTGGACTGCTGCAAAGACCTGGGGGTGTTCCCAACGGTAGATGTGTCCAGAACCAGGGGTCACAGTATGAGGATTTGGGGTAGAAGATTTAGGACGGAGATAAGGAGACATTTCTTCACCTAAAGAGTGGTGAGCCTGTGGGATTCATTACCACAGGAAGCAGTTGATGCCAAAACATTGAATGTATTCAAGAGGCGGCAAGATATAGCACTTGTGCAAATGGGATCAAAGGTTATGGGGAGAAAGCAGGATTAGGCTATTGAGTTGGATGATCAGCTATGATCATGAAGAATGGCAGAACGGGCTCAAAGGACCGAATGGCCTCCTCCTGCTCCTATATTCTATGCTTCTATGACAGTGGATTCTGTCTGTCAGTCATTAAATACTCCTGCTCATCCCCTCCCAGTGGATTCAAATGCTCTTGGAATCTGACCCGTTAATCACTCCAATTTCCTAGATTGTCGGGAGTTTGAAGCATTTGATTATGATGCGTCTGCTACTTCTGTATATATTACTTAGTCACGTGGCCCTAGCCTCCCCAACTTTGCTTATACATAGTGATCTAGATGTTTCATTTGAATGCTTGCCCAGTGTATTCAGTTTTATCATTTTGTTTCCTATTCATTTGTGGGATGTGGGCATCGCTGGCTGGCAATGGTAACCCACAGGATGTTGATAGCGAGGAATTCAGTAATGACAGTGCTCTTCAACTTCAGGGGGTGATAATTGGATTCTCTCGCTGAACGTGATCCGTGTCTGGTGCTTATGTGAATGTTATTTGCCACTTATCAGCTCAAGTAAGTAACATGCAAATCGGCCTCTCAAGATCCTCTTTTGTCTCTAACCCACTCAGATTTTTATCAAAAAGCAAGAATACTGTGAATGCTGGAAATCTGAAATAAAATCTGAAATGCTTGAAGTATTCAGGTCAGGGAGCATCTGTAGCATGAAAAGATAAGTTAATTAGTACAAGTCTTTGAAAGTTTGAAACTTTTCATCAGAACTTAACCTCTTATTTTCCAAAGGGTAAATGACCTCCTATTCCTCCAATGAAAATGAACTACCCTGCAATTAACTATATTAAAATTAATTTTCTCATTGATGTGACCAATGTGGTGTAACTGTTTAAAAACCGAAAGAACTCCAGATGCTGTAAATCCGGAACAAAAACAAAGTTGCTGGAAAAGCTCAGCAGATCTGGCAGCATCTGTGAAGAAAAATAACAGAGTTAACGTTTCAGGTCTGGTGAACTCTTTTTCTTCACAGATGCTGCCAGACCTGCTGAGCTTTATCAGCAACTTGGTTTTGTGTAGTGTAACTGTTCGTTGGATTCACCTAATTGTTTGTGCTCTTGTTGTTTCAGCGCCAGCACACAAAGAAGGACATATACAACCTGAATGAAGACGAAGATCTCACCCATTATGGGCAATCCCTGGCAGACATTGAGAAATTCAATGACACACCAGACAGTGATAATGAAATGGAGGAAAAGGGCCTTCTGTCTGGTGAGCAAGAAAAATATCATGTGATTTGACTAGTCCTGATAGTTTAAAGGGCTATAACATGTACAGTGCTTGCGTCATGTTTCACTATCCATCCCTGCCTGTTATGGGAAAAGCAGTCAGATTTCAAAAAGGCGCTAGGTGGGGAAACTCTCACTCTTTTTAACCATTCAGTAGTAAAACTTTAGTTGCCTCTACAAATCTGGGTCGTATCCAAAGACAATACTTTGAAGGGAGCATATTTGATGATGGTGGGGAGATGATTGGGTGAGTGTTGAAGAGCTTATTCAGTTCTTTCTCCCTGTCCCTGGAAGGAATCCAGTGTTTTTAGGGTGGGAGGAATCAATGATAGCAGTTTTGATGGGAGGAATTTGTTTGTACATTAATACTATAATGACTTACATCCCTCATGACTTCGATTAGTCAATTAAGCACTCCAAGTGTATTCACTGCTGCACACAGTCAGCCGTACAAAACAGCAATGAGATCATAACTAGATAACCCCTCTCTATCGTGAATTGAATTGAGTTAGCTTTATTGTCATGTAGTCCAATGAGTACAGTGAAAAGTTTACGGTTGCTGCATTACAGCACCATCTTAGGTACAAAAGTACCTGGATACAGATACTTAAGATCAAATCCTTAGGAAACAAAAAAAAGTTAGAAAAGTAAAGAAACAGATAGTGCAGTGTTATAGGTCAAAGGAATAAATTAGAAAAATAAAGAAGTATAAAGTTCAGAATATCAGTCCTTCTGACCGAATCCATGCCAACACCTAGCCTCAAGGGAGACCACCACCTGCGCAGTCTCACCAACATAGGAGTTGATCCACTTTTAGGCGCCATATCTTTGCTGCTGGGCCCACTTCGCTGACGCTGCTGAGCCCACACTTGCCCTGCAACCAAGAGTCCCTGGCTGTGCTGTTGATTGAAGGATAAATATTGTCCAGGTTGCTGGATATGTTTGATTTTTCATTTTTTTTTTAAAAGTTCACTTGATCGTCACGTTCTGTTTATCAACTTATCAACAAGATTGCACCTGCTGAAAATGCTGTCGGGATAGCAGTCTTTATTTTGTATACTGTAGTGAACTTGAATTCATGACATCAGTCTCTGAGGTGAACTGAGTGACCCTAAGATATAGGAGCAGAATTAGGCCAATCAACCTATCCAGTCTCCTCTGCCATTTGATCATGGCTGATATGTTTCTCAACCCCATTCTCCTGTCTTCTCCCCATAACCCTTGATCTTCTTACTAATTAACAACCTATTGATCTCTGCTTTAAATACAGTAAGTGCTGCAGAGGGCTGGGGAGGCCAAGTCATTGAGTTCCACAGATTCACCACCCTCTGGATGAAGAACATTCTCCTGATCTCAGTTTTAAAGGCCCTGAGACTGTGCCCCCAGTCCTAGTTTCTCATACTAGTGGAAACATCTTCATGTCAGTTCCCCGCCTCACCCTTCTAAACTCCATGAAGTAGAGACCCAGAGTCAATCTTGTAAACCTCCACTGGATGTCGTCCAAAGCCAATACATCTTTCCTTACATTTGGGACCCAAAATTGCTCACAATGTTCTGAATACAGTCTGACCAGAGCTTTATACAGCCTCACAAATACATCTCTGCTCTTGTTTTCTAATAAATAAATGCTGATATTGCATTTACCTACCTAACTGCCAATTGAACTTGCATGTTAACCTTAAGAAAATCCTGAATTAGGACTCCCAAGTCCCAATGCACTTCAGATTTGTGAAACCTTTCCCAGTTTAGAAAATAGTCTACCCTTCTATTCTTCCTACCAACATATATATCGCCTCAGTTTGCCATATGGTATTCCATCTGCCACTACTTTGCCCACTTGTCGAGCATGTCCAAGTTCTTCTACAGCCTCCCTGCTTCCTCAACAATACCTATCCCTCCACCTATTTTTGTGTCATCTGCAACTTAGCACCATTGCCCTCAGTTCCTTCATCCAGATCATTAATGTATAACATGAATAGTTGTGGTCCCAACACAGACTCCACAGAACTCCCCTAGTCACCAGCTGCCATCCTGTAAAAAGATCCCTACTCTCTGCCTTCTGTCAGTCAGCCAGTACTCGATCATTGCCAGTACCTTGCCCCTAACACCATAGGCTCTTATTTTATTTAGTAGCCTCCTGTGCGGCACCTTGTCAAAGGCCTTCTGGAAATCCAAATAGATCACATCAGCTGGTTCTCATTTGTCTAACTTGCTCATTAGCTCCTCAAAGAATGCTAACAGATTTGTCAGGCATGACCTCCCCTTGACAGAGTCATGCCAATTCTGCCCTATTTTACCATGCACTTCCAAGAACTCCACAATCTCATCCTTAGTAATGAACTCTAAAATCTTACCACTGACTGAGTCAGGCTAACCAGCCTGTAGTTTCCTGTCTTCTGCCTTCCTTCTTAAACAGCCATTTTCCAGTTCTCTGGGGCCCTCAAGTAATTCCTGACAGATCACCACCAATGCTCCACAATTTCTGCAGATATCTTCTTCAGAAGTCTAGCGGTATAGTCCAGCCATTCTGGGTGATTTATCCACCTTCAGGCTTTTCAGTTCCCCAGCACTTTCTCCTAATTGATTGCCACTATGTTCACCTCTGCCCCCTGACACTCTGAAAGTTCTGGTATACTGCTGGCATCTTCTACTGTGAAAACTGATGCAAAGTACCTATTCAGTTCTTCTGCCATTTCTTTGTTCCCCATTACTACTTCTCCAGCCTAATTATTCAGTGGGCTAATGTCCATTCTGAACTGTATTTTAGCTTTTAGAAATTTTATAAAAGAATGTTTCAATAGTTTTTTTTTATTACTAGCTAGCTTTCTCTCATTTCATCTTCTCTCCCCTTATTGCTTTTTGTTAGTTGTCCTCTGCTAGTTTTTAAAGGCTTTCTAACTCTCTGGCTTCGCACTAATCTTCAACACATTGTATGTTTTTTTCTTTTGTTTTTATGCTGTCCCTGACTTCCTTGTCAGCCATGGTTGCTTCATCCTCCCCTTAGAATGATTTTTCTTCATTGGGATGAATTTCCGTTGTGCCTCCCAAATTACCCCCACAAACCCCTGCCATTGCTGCTCTACCATCTTCCCTGCGAGGCTTCCCTACCAATCAACTCTGGCCTGCTCCTCCCTCATATAACAGTTGTTACCTTTACTCAATTGTAATGCCGTTACATCTGATTCCAGCTTCTCCCTCTCAAACTGCAGGGTAAATTCTATCATATGGTCACTGTTCTCTAGGGGTTCCTTCACCTTAAGCTCCCTAATCAAGTCTGGCTCGTTACACATCACTAAATGCAGAATTGCCTGTTCCATAGCGGATGCTACCACAAGCTGCTCCAAAAAACCATCTTATAGACATTCCACAAATTCCTTTTCTTGACATTGGCTATCCCCAACCTGATTTTCCAAGTCCACCTGCATATTGAAGTTCCCCATGAGTCTGGTGATAGTGCCTTTCTTACATGCCTTTTCTATCTCCTGCTTTATTTTCACTCCCGCACCCTGACTACTGCTAGGAGGCCTAAACACAACATCTGTTATATTCTCCTTTCCTTTGCAGTTCCTCAACTCTACCCACACAGATACTACGCCCTTCAATTTTATATCACTTCTGCTATTGATTTAATTTCATTTCTTACTAATAAGGCAACCTTTCCCCCTCTCCCCATCCGCCTGTCCTTTCGATAGGCCATGCATCCTTGGATATATAGGTCCCAGTCCTGATCCCCTTGCAGCTGCATCTCTACACACAAGCGCAAGGACTGAGAGTCATTCAGCACCACCTCTTGGATCCCTCTACCTGCCTCGCTCATAGTCACATCCTCCTGTCCCTGACCACTGACCAAATTTCAGCGAGTTAATCTAAGAGGTGCGACTGCCTCCTGAAACACTGCATCCAGGTAGCTCTCCCTCTGTGTGATATGTCAATGTGTGAAGCTCAGACTCCAGCCCATCAATTCTCAGCTGGAGTTCTTCAAGCAACCAATACTTGCTACAGATGTGGTTACTTTGAACAACAATGGGGTCCTCCTGCTCTCAATCGCCTGGCCTGGCATCTCAATTTTAATGACATCATTCTTAATTTGATTTTTAAATATTTCATACTGTTATTTTAGTTTGTATGCTCCTTAAGTACCATGTTCCCTTATTACCCACAGCTGAGTTCACTGCTGCTGCACACTTTGGTGGTGGTGGGCTGTTGCAGAAGAAGGCATTATCTAAGCAGCACGGTGATGAGGAGGAACCGGCACCCAAGTCCCGGAGAGAGTTAATTGATGAGCTTATTGCTAAATCTAAGAAGGAGAAGGTATGCTTTTCAAATTTTGTGCTAATGAGTGTTGATGGTTTGTATAATTGGTGGGTAGAGGGGAAACTGATGCACTTCAGGCCTAGGTGTCGTAATGTTTACGTAGCCATGTAGTCTTTGGGTGTATCTAGTGTTTGTCTAATGAAGTGAAGCTTGGTATCTTAATGTGTACTGCAACTTTCATCTCTCTACAGCACAATTGCTCAGTGCCTCAGTGTTTTACAGGACCATGGAAAGCAAATAGATGTCACTTCAACAGAAAAATGGACCAAGGCTACCAAAGAAAGCTAAAACATGATGAGTGTGGGTCTAGAGATTTCTGCTGATAAGCCCAGAGGGTGCTGAAGGAACACCAATTGCATTTTAAGCAGCAATCCATAGTCCTGAGCTAATACCGAAGGTTAGAGGAATTCACAGTGAGGAAAGGTGAAAAACAGTGGAGGGATTTCAACAACATTCTGTATTCCTATTGTGTCCTTAACAGCATCCATGGGTGCTTAACAGGAGCAAAAAAAGACATTGAGTAACCTAAAGATTTGAGGATGAGCAAAAGTTTGGTGAAGAAGCTATTTTAATAATTCTTAAAAGAGAGAGAGAGAAGGAGCATTTAGGCCTTGTTACAATAAAACATGTACACCATTGGTGAACCAATGGAATTGCAGGCCAGAGTTGAAAGACTGTTACTTTCATAGGGTCATACAGTGCAGAAAAGGCCCTTCAGCCCATTGAGTCTGCGCTGACATAACTACCATTGAAGATGTGCTAATCCTAATTTCCTGCAGTTGTCCCGTATTCTTGAATGTTATGATATTTGAAGTGCTCGTCCAATTATTTTTAAACGTTGTAAGCTTTTCTTTACCTTCCCAGGTAGTGCATTCCAGATTCCCACCACCTGCTGAGTGAGAGTTTTTTTTCCCCAGATCCTGTCTGAATCTCCTGCCCCTTACCCTAAAACTATGTTCCCTCATGATTGACTCCTCAACCAAGGGGAATGGCTGCTGTCTGTTCACCTTCCAGTGCTGTCACTTCCTTCCCGTGGTGAGATGACCAGAACTGCACATAGTGGCCTAACCAACTCTCTGTACAACTCCAACATTACCTCTTTGCACTTATACTCTATGTCGCAACTGATGAAAGCAAGTCGCCCATATGCTGCCTTAGCTGTCATTTTCATGTGCTCTGCCGACTTCAAAGATCTGTGGATAATGACCCTCAAGATCCTCTGATTCTCTAAGCCACCCAGTGTCCTGCTGTTCATTAAATAACAGTCTCATCTTGTTTCTTCATCCAAAGTGTATCACCTCACACTTAGCAGCGTTAAATACCATCTGCCACTGGTCTGCCCATCTGACCAACCCATCTATATCTTCCTATAACCTAACAACCATCTTCTTTGCTATTATCCACTCTGCCAATCTTGGTTTGTGTGCAAATTTGCTTAATATTCCCCCATATTTTTATTTATATCATTTACAATATTATATAACAAACAGTAAAGATCCCGGTACTGATTGTTGTGCTACACCACTGGACATTGGCCTCCAGTTACTCCAACAGCCTTCTACCACTACCCTTTGTGTTTTATTACTAAGCCAGTTTCTGATCCATCTTGCCAAGTTTCCCTGAATTCCATGTACTTTAACCTTCTCAATTAGTCTCCCACGTGGGACCTTGTCAAAAGTTTGCTAAAATTCGTATAAACTACATCAACTGAACTTCCCTCATTCACACACTTGATCACATTTTCAAAAAATTCTAACAAATTTCTTAGGCGTAACCTCCTTCTAACAAAGCCATGCTGACTATCCGTAATTAACCCATGGCTTTCCAAATGGGTATTAATTCACTCCTTCAGGATTTTCTCCAACTGTTTCCCTACCACTGCTGTGAGACTCACTGGTCTGTAATTTCCTGGTTCATCTCTACCATCCTTCTTGAAAAGTGGAACAACATTTGCTGCCCTCCAGTCCTTTGGCAGTACCCCCGTGGCCAGGGAGGAATTAAAAATTTGTGTCCGAGCCCCTGCAATTTCCTGCCTCGCCTCTCAGCAGCCTGGGATGCAGTCCACCCGGGCTAGAGGATTTGTCCATTTTTAATGTCTGACAAAGCCTCCAGTATCTCCCCATTTCCTATGTCAAACTGTACAAGTTTTCCTCACAGTCCCTTTTCCTGAATTCTGTACCCACATTTTCCTTTTCCAGAGTGAAGACCAAAGAAAAGTATTCATTTAACACCCTTCCAATATCCTGTGACTTCCCACAGGTTGCCCCCTTGCTCCCTAATGGGTCCTACTGTTTCCCTGGTTAATCTCTTCCCTTCAATGTATATATAAAATATTTTAGGATTCTCCCTAATCCTGTTTAGAAGTTCTTTTTCATGCCTCCTTTTTGTTCTTCTAATTGCTTTCTTAAGGTCTCTCCTGCACCTCCTGTATTCCTCTAGGGCCGCAGCTGAATTGCTCCCTTCGGACTTGCTAAAAGCCCTCTCTTCTTCCTCATCCAGTCCTGAACTATCCTAGACATCCAGCATTCTCTGAACTTACTGCTCCTACATTTCTCTATAAACGGTACATGTTGGACTTGTACACTCCCAAGCTCCCCAGTGCTCTGCTGTAGTCTTGCCAGCAAGGAGGTGTTCCCAGATCTGCTTTATTTTAATAAAATCTGCCTGCACGCCCACCTAACCACCCCACCCTGATTGGTCAGCAGGAAGGGTGGGGAAGTTAGATGGGGAAGGAGATGGACAGGTAGTGTCAGGTCAAGCACGCGGGGATGAGAGGGAGGGGTGGACATGGGATGAGGTCGGTAGTGGGGAGATTTCAAGACTGGTAAATTCTATGTTTAGACCGTCAGGCAGTAGGCTTCCGAGGCAGAACATGAGGTGTTGTTCCTCCAGTTTGCGTGGGGCATCATTGTGACGCAGGATGGACATGTCACCCTGGGAGGGGTAGTTAAAATGGTTAGCGATCAGAAAGTGTCGTTGATTATAGTGTACAGAGCGCAGGTGCTCCACAAACCTGTCACCAAGTCTACATTTGGTCTCAATGTAGAGGAGGCCACATCAGGAGCAACGGATACAGTAGACCACGTTGGAGGGTGTACAGGTGAACACCTGTCGGATATGGAAAGTTTGTCTTGGGCCTCGGATAGAGGTGAGAGGGGATGTGTAGGAGCGTGTGTAGCACCTCCTATGGTTGCAGGAAAGGTACCCGGTGTGGTGAGCTTGGTGGGAAGTGTGGACGAGGGAGTCGCAGAGTCAGCAGTCCCTACAAAAGGCAGACAGGGGTGGGGAGGGAAGTATCTCTTTGGTGTGGTGCAATTGTAGGTAGCGGAAATAGTGGCGGATGATGCGCTGGATGCGGAGGTTGGTGCGGTGGTATGTGAGGGCCAGGGGGACTCTGTATTTATTTTTGTTGGAGGGAGGGGTTTTGAGTGCGGGAAATGCAAGAGATGTGGTTGAGGGCATTTTCGATCAACAGAGGGGGAAGATTGCAGTCCTTGAAGTAGGAGGACATCTGGGATGTCAATGAGTGGAATGCCCCATCTTGGGAGCAGATGTGGAGGAGGAATTGGGAGTAAGGGATTGCATTCTTGCAGGAAGGTGGGTGGGGGGTGGGTGGGAGGAGGTGTAGTTAAGGTAGCTGTGGGAGTTGGTGAGTTTGAAATAGATCTCATTGCTGAGACGGTTACCGGATATGGAGACAGAGGTCCAGTAAGGAGAGGGAGATATCGTAGATGGTCCAGGTGAATTTGAGGTTGGGATGAAAGGTGTTGGTAAAGTTGATGAACTGTTCAAGCTCCTCATGGGAGCATGAGGCTGCGTCGATACAGTCATCACTGTAGCGGAGGAAGAGGTGAGGGATGGTGCTGGTGTAACAACGAAAGAGGGACCACATACCTACAAAGAGGCAGGCATAGCTCAGACCACACAGGTGCCCATAGCCACCCCTTTGGTTTGTGGGAAGTTGGAGGAGCTAAAGGAAAAGTTGTTGAGGGTATGGACAAGCAACATACCCTTCAAAGAGGCAGGCGTAGCTTCCACATTCTGCCACCTATGTAAAAACCGAAAGAACTGCAGATGCTATAAATCAGGAACAAAAGCAGAACAAATACAAAGTTGCTAGAAAGCTCAGCAGGTCTGGTAGCATCTGTGAAGGAGAAAACAGAGTTA